GGCTGTAGATACATAGCAGTGCATTTACAGGTAAATGAAAGCATTAATAACCATTAATTGGATGACCTCAGATAGTGCTTAAGTGTTTATCTTAGTTTCCTTTGCAATAGAACTGTGCCAACAGTAATTATGTGTTTATATGTAAACCAGTGTATCTACTGAATGTATTTTTGTTGTCTTGGCAGTTATGGGTAAAGCCGAAGGCTCAGTAGCTAGGGAAGAATGGCACGGGCACGTCACAGCGCTCTCTGTGGCCCCAGAATTTCGCCGCCTTGGTTTGGCTGCTAAACTTATGGAGCTACTAGAGGAGATTTCAGAAAGGTGAGGTACTGTTTTCTTCAGTATACTAGTGATCTTTAAACCTGGATCATTGTGATTCTTCCCTGGGGCTGACCGACTATCATGCTTTGTGATTTACAGGGATTGCATCTTCAGCCTCCTGTGGTCCTCACAACTCTGTGCTGTTCAGAGTGGTCTTACTGTTCCTATTCTGTGACTGAGGGAAGTGAGGTGGGGTTTGAGGCCCTGCTGTAGGCCTACCAGCTGTGTAACTGGTGGCGTCCACAACTGGCTCTCGGCAGTGTGGTCCTCACAACTCTGTGCTGTTCAGAGTGGTCTTACTGTTCCTATTCTGTGACTGAGGGAAGTGAGGTGGGGTTTGAGGCCCTGCTGTAGGCCTACCAGCTGTGTAACTGGTGGCGTCCACAACTGGCTCTCGGCAGTGTGTTTGCCACTGTGGCCCGTGTTCCTGTATGCTCTGTTAACTGTACTGAGATGCCAAGGGCAGTGTTTTCAGTGTTCCTAGGCCAAAAGAAAATACTTTAGTGTGGGGAGCAACCCGGACTAGACTGTTACTGGAATTAAGACTTATTCTATGCATCTGCTCTCCCACAATATGGTGCTGGGAGAGAAGAAAACAGCTTCTACACAGCTGCCTCCAGTTCAGCCAATAAACTGTAGGACTTGCTCCTGATTGGAGGAGAGCAGCGTACTCGGCGTGTGGGCAGCCGAGTTGGGATTGGCAGAGGAGGACTATAAAGGAGGAGAGAGACGGCATGCACCAGGAACATCTAAGGGGAACATCTAGCTGAAGGAACACCTGTGCAGCCCCCGAGAGAGCCGGCCGGCGGTGTGCCGCTCCCCTGCGGAAGTGGGGAATGTGGCAGGGGGAACTGCCCTTCCACGGAGGTGGAAGGGACAGTAGCCAACCCGGGAAGAACCAGCAGCAAACCCGGGAAGGGCCGAGCAGACAAAAGAACAGCACAGGGTCCTGTGTCGTTCCTCCACGAAGAGGGGGAGCGACACTTTAGCACTTGAGATATAATTGCTTAGGACTATTTACAGCCTAACAGTTCAGTAGCCTTTTGAAAAACATTTTTCATTTTGAACTATGGTAATCTAGTAAGATGTATGTACATGTTGAGCCTTGACTTTAATGATTAACACTTCACTGACAGACCCATTATATGGATGTTCAAAAGGCACTAGTGTTTTAATCTTAGCAACTGCCAGAAATCCAGCTTCATTAAAAAAAATGTCATATACTGCTGACTGGTGGTTTGTCAGTTTCTGACATGTAAACTATTCTGCAGTGCCTCAGTATAGTTTAGGAACTAGATTTTGAGAGGGAGAGAGCTTCCATTCACTGGTTCACTCCCCAAAATGGCTGGAGCTGCACTGGAATGAAGCCAGAAGCTTCTTCTGGGGCTCTCACATGGGTGACGGGGCCCAAGCACTTGGGCCATTTTCTGCTTTCCCCTGTGCATTAGCAGGGAGATGGAGCAGCTGGGACTCGAACCAGTGCTTATGTGGGATCCAGCAGCACAACTTGTTACACCATCCTCCAGGAATTGCCAGTATTATGGCACTGTTTGAGACAGACCTGTTAACACCACCAGTGTTACACAGTATTTTAAATGGAGGCTTATTTAGAAGAGGTGAGAGATACAGGTATCAGATTGGCCAGTCAGTGCCTAAAAGTGTAGCAGAAAAGGACTCTTATGGCATAATTTCCACTTAATTGTTGGATTTAATAGTGTTGCCCTTGGCATCTCAGTACAGTTAACAGAGCATACAGGAACACGGGCCACAGTGGCAAACACACTGCCGAGAGCCAGTTGTGGATGCCACCAGTTACACAGCTGGTAGGCCTACAGCAGGGCCTCAAACCCCACCTCACTTCCCTCAGTCACAGAATAGGAACAGTAAGACCGCTCAGCAAGGAAGGGAGGAAACTACCTATGTCCACAGGGAGTTAGAAAATGGGTTCACAGCAGATGTGACCTTGCACTTGGGAATTAATGTAGTTACAGGATAGTCTCTTCCTCAGTAGAAAACCACTAAGGTCCCTTCCCAGGTCTAAGCCCTTGTTATAAGCTTTATTTGTATAGGTATGGCTGTACGTACATACATAAAATATGTATATAAACATAGGTACATGTTTGTAAGTGTATATACATTAGAAATAGTAGTATACATCTATATATCATTTCCAAACAAATGAGGAGAAAATGATAAAAATCAAAGGCAAAAAAGGAAATTAACAAACTAAGAGGATGGCTGTATCTGGTTAAGGACAAAGAACTGGATTCCATGTACAGTAAAGATGAAACACTGAAAGAAAAACCATGCATGTTCTGACCAAAACAAAGTTGGCATACTTCCATTATAATATTTATATTCCAGTTGGGTGACAGTTTCTAGAGTGAAAAGGGATCCCTGCATATTAGTGACTCAAACCATCAAGATGACCAGTTAAGCATCTTTTGTACCCAGTGAGACAGATGCTTCTTTCTAATAGAAAAATTGGCTAAAGCATAGAACAAACTTTCTGGCTCAGAGAGAGAGCAAATACATGAGGGGTTTTCAAAAATGTTTTGTACCAAAATTTCTTTTATTACATTTCCCGTGGACTCCTTGAAGTACCCCTGTATTAGGCTGCAGGCTGTCTAAGGCCTGTGTTATGTAACAACTTTTCAGTCTCAAAAACAATTCTTAGCTGCAAGCTGACCCTTGAGAATTTAAAAGTCTTTTCACAGAGGAAGCTGCAGCTTCTCATTTAAGAACTTTACATAAAAATGCCTTAACAAAATCTTACTCCTTAGTTGAAAATATCCCAGAAAAATCATTTGCAAAATGGTTTCACTTACATATAAATATATAGAGTTCAATGCAAGGTTGTTTTCTTTGAGTAAACCTGATAAAAGCCAGTATTCACTTCTGGATAAAAATTGTGAATTAGGAAAGGTCTGTGAGCAGAGACCATGTCTATCTGCAGAACAACTGCAGGAAATACCAGGTATTCAGGAAGTTCATGGAACTGGGCACGCATCCCAACATCTGTAACCTTCCATGTTCATGGACTTGAAGAAACCAGTGACAAGGGGATGACTGCAGCTGTGCTCTCTTCAGTAATCAGCTGCAAATCCAAGACAGCATAGGAAAGCGAGAGATGTAAGCATCTGAGGTTTGGGAGGAAACTCAACTGTTACAAAGAGAGGAAATCCACAAGAATCTACAAAGTTACTAAATACAAAAGCAGTACAAAAATCTTTATAGAAAGAGGTGCCATTTGTGTGACACTAAAAAAGAACACATAGTTAAACATCTAATATAAGCTGTGGAAGACCTCTGAGATTTATAAAAACTCAAGTGCTTAACTAATTGGAGAGATAGGTTATCTCCATGGATCAGAGGATATTACAGAAATGGTCAGTTTGCAATTTGCTAATTATTTTTTGTGGGACTTGTTAATTAGGCTGATCGTGAAACTCAGACAAAAGTAAGACAAGATTTCTGGAACATTTGTCATTCTCATTATCTGTAATGAGAGCAAGAATGTATATTACAATGGTCCAGACTGAGAAACAGACCCAGTAATGCATGGATTTTGACATACCTCAGAAGCAGTACAAATCAGTGCTCTACACTCAGGTAAAGGTGGCGAGACAATTCCATATCCATCTATATGGGAAAAAACATTGTCCCAGGTTGCAGAATTCCAGATTAGAAACCTAGATGTAAAGAGCAAAACTAAAAAGCCTTTTGAGTATAATAGTGCAGAGTGTTTCATGTAGGAAACCAGCTTCTTAAAAGATAATTTTTCAGAAACACTATACAATGTTGAATACCTAGAATATATAGAGAACTACAGCTGGGGAAAAATCAATGAGAACTATATAGGAGAATCCAAATGGCCATTAAACAAAAATACATTCAGCCCCATTAGTAATCAAACATGCATATTTACATCACACCAAGATACAGAGAGGCTTGGCTGTGGACCTAAGTTGCTAGACACAGGCTGGAAAGTGTAGCACTATGCAAGTTGAAAAGGTGCACCCTCCTCTGACACAGCAACGACCCTTCACTAGAGACCTTAGATACTATACCGTGAGACACGCAGCACAAAACTGGAGATTTTTGTCAGTATGACCTGGATAGCTTGTATATTCATACAATGGGATGCTAAAGTCACCTAAGAAAAGTCACAAGTATTTGAGAATTTTATATAAATGGAATCAGACTTCTAAACAGGGGAAACTAACAATAGGTAAAAAGTAAGGAGATAATGGTGTAGTCACTCTGGGTGACCAACCAGTGGGAGACCTAAGGGCTTTAGGGCCACAGCCATTTGTTTCATAATGTCACACAGTATGCCACATCAAATCTTTAAGATGAACACATCAATTACTGTGACATAAAATACATAGTATTTTTAAAGCCAGGTACTAGAAACATTAAAAAAAAATGCTGTTTTGAAATTTTTTTTTTTAGAAAACCACATATTTAGATTTTTTGGTAACAAAAGCAGTCACCTCATTCTAACATTTTCTTTTTCTTTTTAAAGAAAGGGTGGATTTTTTGTTGACCTCTTTGTGAGAGTATCTAACCAAGTTGCAGTGAATATGTATAAGCAGCTGGGCTACAGTGTCTACAGGACCGTCATAGAGTATTATTCAGCCAGCAATGGGGAACCTGACGAGGACGCCTACGGTAGGTTCTTTTTTTTTTTTTTTTGACAGGCAGAGTGGACAGTGAGAGAGAGACAGAAAGGTCTTCCTTTTGCCGTTAGTTCATCCTCCAATGGCCGCCACAGCCAGTGCACTGTGCTGATCCGAAGGCAGGAGCCAGGTGCCTCTTCTGGTCTCCCCTGGGGTGCAGGGCCCAAGCACTTCGGCCATCCTCCACTGCACTCCTGGGCCACAGCAGAGAGCTGGCCTGAAAGAGGGGCAACCGGGACAGAATCCGGCGCCCCGACCGGGATAGAACCCAGTGTGGCGGCGCCTGCCTAGGTTCTCTTCTATGGTGGAAACACTACATTCATTCAGCAGATTTAAACTTACTGAAGTAATTGAACAGTTCAAAGAATATTTGATCTTAATAGCTAACCAACCTTTGTGAACCTAATGGCAGTTTTATTAACTGATCAGTGGTTAATTTCTGTCGATTGTTGTCTTACTGTGTTACAGGCATGGTGTTTAGAACATTTGTATGCTGAGCCCAATACTGGGCGTTTGTTGGCATCTGATTTACTTGCAATTGGGAGTCTCAATTATCTTTCAGAAAGTAGGGGACAGGAGACAAGACTGTCTAAGAATTCTAGCTCTACACTTTGAATTTAGAATCTGGCTGCTTACATTAATCTTTGCTTCCTGACAGATATGAGGAAAGCACTTTCCAGGGACACGGAGAAGAAATCCATCATCCCATTACCTCATCCGGTGAGGCCGGAGGACATTGAATAGCCCTGGGCAGTGGTTCTTAGGCAGCTGCTCCAGGTGGTTATGGACAATGTTTTCATCGGATGATCTTGGAGCTCTAGTGGAGAAAAGTAATCATTGAGGTCTTAAAGGCGTGAAGAAACTGCAAGTTATACTTTCAATAGCATTGTTTCCAGTTAGCAATATCATACCTATTAAAGCTGTTGACTGTACTGAGATCCAATCAGAAAGGCAGCTAGGTCGAGGAAGCATTCCACTCATGTTCACTGTGTGCTAGGGAAAGACTTGCTCCAATCTCCCCAATTCAGTGCCTGAGAACCACTGCTGCACATATAAATTTTTTTATTTTGTACTGAATTGTTAATTGAAGCTTTAAAAGCATATATGAAATGTATAAATCTAAGGTGTATAATAAAATACATTGTTGGTTCTATGGATGTTTTCTGGAAGTTTTTTGGCCATTTATAAAACTTAACACATGCTAAATGGTGACCTTTAACAAATCTGGTTGTTTTTGTCTGCACTGTGGTAAACTTCTTGAAAGGGACATGCAAAATTGGGGCTGTGCCAGGCTGAAGTCAGGGGCCAGGAATTCAACCCAAGGTCTGCACCCAACCACCTGAGCCGTCACTTGCCGCCTCCCAGCCTCTGCAGTGGCAGAAAGTGGAATCGAGAGTGCAGGCCCCCTTAAGTAGTGTCTGACTGCACCAAATGCCACTCTATGAAATGTGTTTCCGATGCATCCTTGAAATAATCCCTGCTCAGCATACTTAAGCTTCCTTATTACACATTTTATATATTTGGTAACTGGGAAGAACTTACTATGTAAGAGGAAAAAGAACCCAATTCCTAAAGAAACTTGATCAACGGCCAACCATGCATTTTTCACACAAAATTTTCTCACCTATAAATAATGAATTACTAGAGAAGCAACTAAAGAAATACAAAAGTAGTAGTTACTAAAAACCTTTTACTTTTGAAAGGACTTATAGGGTAGATGAGAAGTATTCTTCCATGAAAGAGTAACTTCTTCCTCCAAGCATTTCATACTGGCACTGCCTATTATGCAAACATGGTCATCAATTTCTGTCTTGTGTATACAAAACAGCTACTGATTACACGTCCATACTCTGCTCTCTCTGCAGACTTAGCCAACAGAGACTGTAATCTATTTTCCTTTTTACTGACAAGACAGACCTCAGCAAGCAAGAGCCAGAAGCCACACACACCTCAGAGGCTGACACTGTCCAGTGACTACAGCACTGGAGCCACAGTGAACAGAACAAAATGCTTGAGAAATGTGGTCCAGGTTAAATGAAACTTCTTCAGCCCACCTAAGCGTATGTTTTTTGCTTAAGAATGTGAGTGACATATCACCAGATATATTATCAGTCTTGTGCTATTTAAGTTTCATTATTTAGCAAGTAGTTATCTTAAAGGGTTTTTATGCTTGCTCAAACCCAAGGAGTTTAATGTGTCAGAAGATACTACAGCCTGCTAGGAGAACTTAGCTTCCAAGCTTCCAAAAAAGCCCTATACCTCTGGCCACTAGTAAGAAGGCAGTGGTAGCCAGAAGTTAATTCAAGTACATTCAATTCTACAAAGAAAGTGGCTCACAACATTTTATTGAGCACTTACTATGTGCCAGGTATATTCCTTTTCTATGGTAACCTTCAAAATAAGCTGTCAAAGTATTTGCCCATTTATGAGTGAGGAAACCAAAAATAAAAGTTAAATTACTAGTGGCGCTGGGACCTGAAGCCTGTGACTCAGAGGCCAGGAAAGCTATAGGTCTCAGATGAACTTACAGAGACATGCGCAAGAAAACAGCACAGGAAATAACTCAAAAACTTCCAACACAAAAGTACAAGTCTGCAGGTCCATCTGAAATAGATGGTTAATTACATTTCCTAATGCATGACATGGACAAACATCAGAAAAGTTTGGACTCAGTTGTGTACAGAAAAAAGAGCCATTAAAAAATACCTTTCCAATCCAAGAGCATTTTAAAAATCATTCAAAAAGTATCTGTCGGATTCCAGTCAATTCTGTACTGGTAAAATATATATAAAAAAAACTTTGGGAGTCACCAACAGTTCCAAGCTATTAATTTATAAAAATAATAAAACATTTATCAGTATGCAGAAAAGATCAGGGGTCCCTCTCATCCGTGTCCTTATCTGGGTCCTGCTCAGCAGCCTCCTTTTCCTGTTGCTGTTTCTTCCACAGCTTGGCCATGGCCAGCAGCTTGAGGTTGGGCTGGTTGGCAGCATCTTCTGGAAAGATGTAATCGTAGTATTCTTCCCAGCCTGCATCGGACTGCAGAAAGGAAACAACAGGTAAGGAAAGCCATGGCTGAAATACTCTGTATTCCAGTTAAAGTGGAGAACTTTTACTGGGGAACCCAGAGTTCAAATCCAGCTCATCTTCATTTTATAAAATATCAGAATCTACTAGAGAAAGAACAGGGCTGGGTCTGAAAGACTGGTGATGAGCAGCTGTTGGACTGCTAACTTCTTAGCCTACCATGAATCTTGAATCGAAAACCCTGTGGAAGAAAATTATACCCCACCTCCCTTGCAAAACAAAACAAAACAAACAAAAACAACACCTAAGCACAGCTCTCCACAGTCAACTACAAAGATAATCAGTGTCTTCAATTCTATCTTGTGGACTTACATATAAAATCTGAAAATTTTTAGATCAAGATTTTTACTTAATATTTACCCAGTAGCAAAAGCTATAAAATCTGCAATGATTCTGACTTCCTGCCTTCACACCCTCACTTGCAACTGATCACTGATTCATTTCCCCAACTCTTACCTAGCAGACCCTGCTCCAGTTCCCAGCTTCTGCCGTCACTGGCTCAGCTTACAGAAGCAGCGTCTTGGCAGGTCTGCCTCCCGCCTGAGCACCTTGGGCCCACCTCACTGAGATGTCAGTAATCGGGTCACAGTACTTTATACTAACAGCAGTACTGGTTCCCACCAAACCCCTACAGCTGCAGAGGCATCTCTGGATCAGCTCCTGCCTGAAGGCGCATTTCACTGCCCAACACAAGACCCCTGCTAATGCTCTGGAAACATATGTCAAGTGGTTCCTAGACTCAGCCCTCTCCCATTCTCCACCCCAAGATGGCCCATTCCCTCCTCCTGCCCTGTCTCCCACTCAAGGCCGTCTGCTCCAGCCCACTGACTGTCCACATGCCACTCAAAGTGCCAACTTGAAAGTTGGACGTGTGTCTACTCGTTTGACACTGCATTTGCACGGGTCCAAGGGCTCGGTTCTTACCCCATCATCTGCCTGGACCTTTCTTCTCTTCTTGACCTTCTCTGGCATGAGTTTGTCTACTCTCTCCTTATCTGCTACAGTTCCAAATTCATCTTCAAAGTTTCGCCAAGATTCCAGCAGCATAAGCCTCTCTTCCTTTTCTTCACAGTTTCGCATGGTTTTGTTAGCCTCTTCATAAATCTGTCGGCATTTAGTCAAACTTCCTTCTTTCCCTGAAGACAACTCAAATTGAGCAAAACTGATCCACACCTTTAAAAGAATTAGGGGACCAAATGAATCGTGTCACAATGATGCACTACTACTAATAAAATAAATTTCTAGTTAATGACATCTACACATGTTCTTCTCCAGTGTTCCACACAATGTCGCATTTGAAAACGCACTTCAATATAAATACTAAAGCAGCCGGCGCCCCGGCTCACTAGGCTAATCCTCCGCCTTGCGGTGCCGGCACCCCGGGTTCTAGTCCCGGTCGGGGCGCCGGATTCTGTCCCGGTTGCCCCTCTTCCAGGCCAGCTCTCTGCTGTGGCCAGGGAGTGCAGTGGAGGATGGCCTAAGTGCTTGGACACTGCACCCCATAGGAGACCAGGAGAAGCACCTGGCTCCTGGCTTTGGATCAGCGCGCAACAACAACTAAAGCAGTCTGCATCTAATGTCTAATTAGTCTAATTAGGTTTCTGACATGATCCTAAAATCCTGAAGTTTGACTTTTTTTTCAATTCTGTGATATCCAAGTGAGTCACATGCAGTATAAACTGTGTAAACAACATTACAAAGTCTTCTGAGATGAATTCTCTTGAAAAGCAAGGACATTGTTTAAAACACAAGAAACGGGCCTGCACTGTGGCATAGGAGGTTAATCTCCGCCTGCGGTGCTGGCATCCCATGAGGTGCCGGTTCTATTCCCGGCTGCTCCTCTTCCCATCCAGCTCTCTGCTATGTCCTGGGAAAGCAGTAGGAGGTGGCCCAAGCACTTGGGCTTGGGTCCCCACACCCGCATGGGAGATCTGAAAGAAGCTCCTGGCTTTGGACTGGCCCAGTTCCCGCTATTGCAGCCATTTGGGGAGCGAGCCAGCAGATGGAAGACCTTTCTGTCTCCCTCTCCCTGTAATTCTACCTCTCAAATAAATAAAATCTTCAAAATAAGATAAATAAAACACAAGAAACACCCCACTTAAAATACAGAACTATAGTACTTTTTGCTAGGACTACTGGCTCCAGCAAAATCAAAGATCATCTACAAACACAAGATACCTTAACGTGCTGTGTCCGCTGAAGCAACTGTCGGTACAGATTTCGTGTTCTTTCGGTTTCCTCCTGCTCGATTTCAAAGTCAATATAAGACTTCCAGAGCACCTAAGAAAGACGACAGGTCAGCCTTGCCTTTTGGAAAGAATTATGTCTCTATTCAAAACACAGCTTAATTATCATCTAGCCTACATCCAGGATCACAGAACTTTTACTAGACAACTAACAGACCATGTATACATAAAAATAAGTAGAGCTGGTATTTCTAAGTTGGCTAAACATTGGGTAAAATTCTATATTATAGGCAAAAAGATCCTGGATTCAGCTTGAGAATCTCCTTGGGAGTTTTTCAAATGCTCAACTCATCAGGAGAGCTGAGAAACTCGCCAGGCGTCCCCCAGGCACGCTCATGATCCTGCCACATGCAGCCGGGCTTCTAGGGAAACAAAGGTGCAGTTTGGCCATCCCTGTAAATCCCTCGTTATCTGAGTTCAACTGAAAACGCAGCACTGAACAGCTGCCCACTTGCTAGGTGTAGCTTCTCAAAGCTATGGCCTGGGCACCTGGCAGCTGTTTGCAGTCTGGGGAGAAGCGGAGCCCACAGATGGAACTGGTGATACATAAAACCCCACACTAATGCAGTGAGTGAGGCCTAAACCATTAAAAACAGGGTCACGTTGGTGTAGCATTTATACAAGGCTGGCTGAGTGCTGTGGCTCATGTCACATTCACATCAGTCCTTGCTGTGGTTTGGTGCCACCTTGTGGCTCAAGCTTTCCTATCCAAGGCAGGCCAGGACTCGAGTCATTTGAAGAACATCCTGATTTAAGTGGAACCTCTTGTTGGCCTGATCCCGATCTAGAACATATTCTGTACTAGACCATGGGGCTGCCTCCTGGCTTGTCCTTCTCTGCCCCATCCCCTTTAGTCTTCCCTGTTTGAGAAAGGGAGAAGACAGCAAATCACCCACCCCATTGGATCCCACTGCTCACCTAGGGTGTCGTCTGTGCTCTAGTGCCTGACTTACAGGGCTGTGCCCCCAGTCTTCCCATCCTTTCTATCCTACAAACAGAAAAATTCTGAGTAGAGCCTAGGTTAGGTCGTCATCTTACTCTAACACACACATTTGGTTAGACGCTCACCTAAAGTAATTCTAGAGAATTATCTAGAATGGTTCGTGAGATCCTTACCTCTGGCATATCCAGGCGCGGCTGACTGATGGCTAATTCATAGATTGCCCGAGCTCTCTCAATATCACCAAGGATTGTCTCTAGTTCTGCAAATTTAATCCACGAGGTACAATTTTCAGGCCCAAATTCCAGAAACTTTTCATAAAGCTTCCGGCACCTGTCAAATTCTCGAAGCTGCAGCTCCAATTCTATGTAACCTTTGAATAATTTGTTCTTTGGACATTTGCCTATGGATGTTCCCTGGAAAACAGAACGACCAGACCACGGTGATACCTTGGCAAGCCTCCCTTGTGAACAGTCACCGCCAACCTGTTCTACAGGCAGCTCCCTGCTGGGGAAGAGCCCTATAGGGTCAACAGGGCCAACTGTGCGTCCCCTGTTATCACACTGGCTCATCACAGAAGGTGATGAGCATCTTGGCCAAATGAAACCCCTCTGGTTCCTCTGGCTACAAGAAGGCCTGTGCCGACGCATTCTTGTTCAGCAAAAGGCAGCATTCCAGAGCTCTACGGATTTCACAGTTTCTCAGGATCCCTTAAGAAATACGGATGTCAGATGTCCAAGATCTCCTAGAAACAAGCAAGCCATCAAAGGAAACCTGCCTTGTGCCCAGGGGCAGAGTGAGAACAGGACAATTGCTTTCAAACAAAGTATTTGACCCCATTAAGAAATGTTAATGAATAGAAGTCTCATTTAATAAAACCAAAATTTTGCACAGGACCAGACTACTGAATTCTGGTCTGAGGGAGGACCTAGTCACTGGTAACTGTTTTAATTTCCAGTGTTGACTGCTGTTTTAGGAACTGCACAACTTGTAAGCACTGATATAAATTTCCTTCTCATAAAACTTAGTGAGGCATCTTGATCTTTCCTTACTTACCAAAGCTCTTCTGGCAAATGGTAAATTTTTCTGTCTTATTTCAAACTGTGCGTAATATAACCACATTTTGGCAAATGTGAACTAAAAAACAAAAGCACAAAAAATATCTACTTTAAATAAGAGATTCATTTCAATTAAATTAAAATTAACCAAAGGCCACTGGCAATATTTCCCCATAAACTTAGCACAAGGAGGGAGGTATTTTGCTTGTTTACAAGCAAAGGTGACCATCTTTTATTCAAGTTAAAACAATCTACCCTGGATCTAGATGCCTTACTGCACTTCATAACCTTGTAGCCTCTACTTGGAATAGAATTTGTTCTGTGGGCACGCTTTTAAGAAGGCAGAGTATTCTCTCTACCAAAGGAATTTCTACCAAAGGAAACAGTTTTACAGTTTTCTGTGCTAGGAAGCAGAGCAGGGATGACTTCTCAGCCATTGACAGGAAGGGCACGTGTCCACGTAAATGCTCTTGGTTATCCAGACACTGTGTCTCCCACACGTGCTGTGTGCTCTGCAGGTTAAGTATCTTCCCCCTTACACTCATCTATTCAAATCCCTAGTGCCCTCTGATTTTCTACATTACCTGTGCTGTCACTCTGTACAGACTGTCAGAGACAAGGAGCCTGTCTCCTTCTCACTTACATTATGCAACCGAATTACTTCAAGTTGGCCTTGTAGAAACAGGACACTTTAGAGCAAGCATACCTTCTTGTGAGGAATTAATTCCAAAGAGGCTTGATACACCTGTCTTGTCCTCTCAGGATCCTGTATTAGGATGAGAAATTTTAAAATGTATTGAAGTCTGTTGCTAACACTAATTTCACTAATCATAGTACAAAAGGTCACCCAACACTGAAAATGCTATCAAAGCTGCTGCAAGTCCTGACGCCACCTGTGACCAAGAGTATGAACTAACCTTGGTTTAAGGATCACAAACCATGTAACCAGCACGTGCTAAGCGCATCTCTGTGGAATGCTGTCCACCTGATAGCACAACAAAGATGTTTTATGGTCTCAGATCAACAACAAAAAAATTAATCTTCACCTGTCAATTTACACAGGTCAGTTTCTAAAAATGCCACGATTTTCACTAAAAACAGAAATATACACTCTAGCTGGGATCCCTATTTATGGGAAAACCCAGGCAGCTACGTGAACCAAGGTCTACTTCACTGTTTCAAGTTCCAGGTGATTGCTTGTTCCTCGAGGTTTACAAAATAAAACAACAACAAAGAATGCTTCACCTGTGCCCGCCATGGGCATCGCAGTTTTCAGTGGTGCACAATGGCTGGACAGAGGCCTCTAAGAATTTAAACTCAACTTCTGTTTCAAGGATTGTAAATGTTAGCTAGCACCCACGACAGGCAAGCTGCAGAACAGCGTGAGGTAACCATGAAGAGCTGACATGTGATTCCATGTGTCTTCTACCTTGGCCTCCAACTCCTCATAGAGGGCGTAGTTGATCCACAGGTAGATGTAGCGCTTCCAGTGCCTCTTCTCCTGAATGGGAGGCACATTGGCAATGGCTCGCTCATAGACTTCCCGCACCGTGTCTGCTTCTGCATCGCTCTCCACCAAGCGCAAGTAATCAAACCACGCGTCGTAATTGTGTGGATTGGCCTAGACAGACCAGATTAATGAGTAAAAACAAAACCAAGAGGACACTTGCTTAGCCTATGTGGAGGCACCAAACCCACCTCTACGAGTTAGAATTTTCCGTGCTATCTCATTCTAAAACTATCTTTTTTTTTTTTTTTTTGGACAGGCAGAGTGGACAGTGAGAGAGAGAAAGGCCTTCCTTTGCCATTGGTTCACCCTCCAATGGCCGCTGTGGCCGGCGCACCACGCCTATCCGAAGGCAGGAGCCAGGTGCTTCTCCTGGTCTCCCATGGGGTGCAGGGCCCAAGCACTTGGTCCATCTTCTACTGCACTCCCTGGCCACAGCAGAGGTCTGGCCTGGAAGAGGGGCAACCAGGACAGAATCCGGTGCCCCGACTGGGACTAGAACTCGGTGTGCTGGCGCCGCAAGGCGGAGGATTAGCCTACTGAGCCACGGCGCTGGCCCTAAAACTATCATTCTTGTGATTGTATGGATAGAAAGGAACAGAGGACAGGGTATTGGCCTGGTGTCCCACAACAAGGTGTTTTTCATTTAGTCAACAGTCCCCCAAAAATTAGACTTCTATCTCAAAATGTATTTCTTGGGGACAATGCTGAGGTGTAGTAGGTTAAGCCTCTGCCTGAGGCACCGGCATCCCACATGGGTGTCGGTTTATGTCCCAGCTGCTCCTCTTCTGATCCAGCATCATGCTGATGTGCCTGGGAAAGCAGTGGAGGATAGCCCAAGTGCTTGGGGGCCCCTGTGCCTGCTTGCGAGACTTGGAAGAAGCTCCTGGCTCCTGGCTTTGGATCAGCTCGGCTCTGGCAGTTGCAGCCATTTGGGGAGTGACCCAGCAGATGGAAGAACTCTGTCTCTTTCTTTATATATGTGACTGCATGTTTTTAACAAAATTACAATGGAATTCTCTCATGCTCACAATTCTGAGACCTGCCTTTTCAATTTTTAGTAATTTCCCTTGAACCTATCTTGCTGACCTACTACCCTATATAACACCAGACTTAGTCCTCAATCTTGCAATCTTTTGCTCAGGTAGTTTAATTAATTTGACTAAGCAAACTATTTTTCAATGTATAGAATGAAAAAGGAAGTTGCTATTATCTTTGAATTGAAATCAAAGCAGTCCATTCCCAGTAAAACGGAGAGAGGAGAACTATGTCTATGGCACCTCTTTCATTCAGGCTGCTAAGCCAAAGGATGACATGCCAAAGAGCAACCTGACCCTTCCATCTTCTTTCAAAAAGGAGCTCAAAGATTCCACAGTACTTTTGCTCAAGTTCTAAGGCACATGGTCAGCAGTCAACAAAATGACTCCAACACCTGAGCCACAGAGTAAATCCAAGCTTGACTTGCTTGCCTCTTCCACTTGCACCTGTCCTGAAAGAGCTGCCAATGTATCATCAGGACAGTAACCACCAGTGGCCCTACCTCGCTACTCCTCACGTCACTGTAGCCGGTCTGGCCCAGCAGGGCTCAGCCACTCACAGCTAACCACCCATCGGCACTCACCTTCACTTCTTCCTCATACTGGAATCTCCGTTTGCTCACGATGATGTCTTCAATACCGCGCCTGTCACCAAACTTCTTCTCAAAGATGGTGTAGTTCTTAAAGAGCTCTTGGGCCTCTTGTTTTGAAATTCTATCCAGGGCATACTTGTAGATCACTCGTACCCTTTCAAACTAAAAGCAGGCAGGATTAGCTTCTGTAACATAATGTTCTCATTCTCGTCACAAACTGGAAAGAGTAACTGTGGCATAAAATACCTAAAAGTCAGATATAAATAAAGGCTTTCCTCTCTCATTGTTGAAGGTGTTTGTCCAGGGACTGAGACTTGGCTTGGAGTTCCACATTGAATGTAGTCCACTGATGTGGCCAGTCGGATGGCTGCTGCACCTCTCAGCTAAACAGGCCCCAATCTGAGCTGCTCTTCTCTCCACTCACCCATCAAACCTGGCTCTTTCCCACACTTTCCAATCTTAGTAGACAGCACCCACAGTCTCACGTGCTCACATTAAAACCCCAGGGGTCCTCCTTCACTCCTCCCCTCCCACATTTCCACATTTCAATCCTTCAACACACCCAGCCATTACTACCTCTTCAACACAGCTCTTCTCCCCATCTGCCCACCTGTCTCCACGCTTAACTGAACCATTCCCAAAGTCTCCCTACTGGTCTCCCCTACAGACATATTTGTCACCCCCTGCCCCCGAATTTATTCATCATGAATCAGTCAGAGGCTCTGGGCCTAGCAGTTAAGACGCTGCCTGGGACACCCATATCCTGTATCAGTGTGCCAAGGTTCGAGTACCAGCTTCACTCCCATGTCCAGCCTCCTGCTAGTGCACACCCTTGGAGACAGCAGATGACGGCTCCAGTACTTGGGTCCCCACCACCCTTGCAGGAGACCTGCACTCAGTTCCCAGCTCTTGGCTTTGTCCTGGCCCAGCTGAGCTGCAGCTTTGTGAGTGTTTGGGGAGTGAACCAGTAGATGGGAGACCTGTCTAAGCCCATATTTCCAGGAAATAAACAATGATCTAAAAAATGTATAAATCATATCCAATCACTCTCCCACATAAATCCCTTCACTGCTTCCCTCTGGCCTCAGGTTCTAAACCCCCTTGCATGACCCGTGCAAGTGTCTTCCTCTTTCAAATCTGTATTACTTGAGCTACTTGGAAGAATTATTTCCCACATACACACACTATGGAAGAAAAGATTGGACTTATTCATGAGGCAATCTGTTTTCATTCTAAATTCTGTTCTCTAAGGGCTTCCAGCTTTGTCTCCCAGGTTTATTACCTTCTAATCACAGGACACCAAACGAGTAACTCTCAGTTTACACTCAGATTTAAAGGCTAAATTGCAAAACAAAATTAAGACAGCTGTAATACAATCTGCAGTCACTCAACTTATGCATATGCAGCTTGGCCACACAGGCATGCTGTTTTCTGTGAGCAACTGTTTATTTTGAGAACATTTTCTCTGATAAGAAAAAGTAGAAATGAACACATAGTGCACAAGATGCGATCCTTACTCTAAGTTTTTTTTGCAACATAACTAAGTTAAGCAAACTTACTTCTTTCTGGTTTTCTTCAAATTTGGCAAAGGCAACGTAAAGGTGTTCATCCATATGCTCATCTCCGAAGAACTCAACAGCTCTCTCGTACACTTTCCGTGCGTGTGCAAAATAAGCATGTTTCTCTTCAAAGCGGGCATATTTGATCCAGTTCTTAACATCAGGGTGCACGAGGACGAGTGGAAGAGAATTAAGGAACTACCAGGCAAGGCAACATGACTTCAAAAACAACAGAGTGGCTGGCGTTCGGTCTAGTGTTAGGATGCTGGTTTGGATGCCCACGTCTTATGTCAGAGTGCCTGGGTTCAAGGCCTGTGTCTGGCTCCTGACTGCAGCCTCCTTCTGACGCAGAATCTAGGGGCAGTAGTGATGACTCGAGTAATTGGGTCCACAGACTGAGTTCCCAGCTTCCAGCTTCAGCTTAGCCCAGCCCCAGCTATCACAGACATTTGGGGAGTGAACTGGATGGGAGCTCTCTTTGCCTTTCTCCGTGTCTCTCTGCTTCTCACACAAATAAGTAAATTAATAAACACTCAGGGGTGGTGTTGTGGCATGGTGGGTAAGGCTGTCACCTGCAGTGCCAGCATCCTATATGGGCGCCAGTTTGAGTCCCAGCTGCTCCACTTCTGATCCAGCTCTCTGCTATGGCCTGGAAAAGCAGAGGAAGATGACCCAAGTCCTTGGGCCCCTGCACCTGCGTGGGAGACCTGGAAGAAGATCCTGGCTCCTGATCAGCATCTGGCCCTTGTGGCCACTTGGGGAGTGGGCCACCAGATGGAAGACCTCTCTCTCTCTCTCTGCCTCTCTGCAGCTCTGCTTTTCAAATAAATAAAAATAAATTAATAAACACCCAAACAATAATTCAAACTAGAACCGTATGGGTTATGAAACACATATTAAGTTGCAGTAGAATCTCTTCTAGTACTCATTCAATAATCAGCGGTAGGTACAAACAAGAGCTTAGTGACAAAGAGAAATCTAAACCCAGGACTCCAGCCATGTCATTTTGGACAACACATTTAACTTGATAAGTTTCATTTTTTTCATCTGTAAATAGGGAAAAATGCCAATCCTACTGGATTATTACCAGCTTTAAATTAGAAAATGTGTTAAACCCTTAGTATAATTTTTGGACAAAAGAATGTAGCCATTAAATGGCAACATTATATATACTCAGTAACATTAATATTAATATTTGAACTATGGGGCCAGTGCTGTGGTGCAGCAGGTTAAAGCCCCAGCCTGCAGGGCCGGCATCCCGTATGGGCAGCAGTTTGAGTCCCGGCTGCTCCTCTTCTGATCCAGCTCTCTGCTATGCCTTGGGAAAGCACTGGAAGATGGCCCAAGTACTTGGGGCCCTGCACCTGCATGGGAGACCTGGAGGAAGCTCTTGGCTCCTGGCTTCAAATCAGCTCAGCTCTGGCCATTTTGGTAATTTGGTGAGTGAACCAGTAGAATGGAAAACTTCTCTCTCTCTCCCTCTCCGGCTCTACCTCTCTTTCTGTAACTCTTTCAAATAAATAAATCTTAAAAAAAAAATTTTTTTTTGAACTTTGGGGCCAGTGCTGTGGTGCAGCAAGTTCAGCTGCCACATGAGATGTTGGCATTCTATACAAGCGCCATTTAGAAGTCAGGTTGCTCCACTTTAAAAAATTTAATTTATTTGAAAGACAGAGTTACAAACAGAGGTAGAGACAGAGAGATCTTCCATCCAGTGGTTCACTCCCTAAAGGGCTGCCAACAGCTGGAGCTGAGCTGATTCAAAGCCAGGAGTTTCCTCTGGGTTTCCCAGGTGGATGCAGGGGACCACTGCTTTCCCAGGCCATAGCAGGGAGCTGGATTGGAAGTGGCGCAGCTCGGACTTGAACTGATGCCTATATGGGATGCCAGCACTACAGGTGAGGGCTTTATCTCGCTGTACCACAGTGCCAGCCCCTGGTTGCTCCACTTCTAATCTGGCTCTCCGCAAATGTGCCAGGGAGAGAAGTGGATGATGGCCCAAGTAGCTGGGCCCCCACATCCACTTGGGAGACCCAGATGGAGTTCCAGGCTCCTGGCTTGAGCTTGGCCCAGCCCCAGCCATTACAGTCATTTGTGGAGTGAACCAGTAGATGGAAACAAATACATTCCCACCCCCACCCCTCTCCCTCTCCCTTTAAATAATTTAAAAAAATTATTTGAGCTAACAACTAAAGAAGAAACAACAAGCCACAAAAATAACACTGCTAACTAGAGCCAAAGGAATATGTTTTATATTGCCACTTTATCTAACAGAACATAACTATTTTTAATCTCACTTCCTTGAAGAAGTCGTTGATTTCCAAAGTAGTACATTTACACATGGCAAAGGTGTTAAGGGCACTGGTCCTAAAGCTGCTCTGCAGGGTTTTTTGTTTTGTTTTAAAGATTTATTTATTTGAAAGTCAGGGTGACAGAGAGTGAGAGTGAGAGAGAGGGAGGGAGAGGTCTTCCATCCTCTGGTTCACTCCCCAGTTGGCCGCAATTGCCAGAGCTGTGCCGGTCAAAAGCCAGGAGCTTCTTCCAGGTCTCCCACATGGGTGCAGGGACAGAAGGACTTGGGCCATCTTCTACTGCTTTCCCAGGCCATAGCAGAGAGCGGGATCGGAAGTGGAGCAGCTGGGAATCAAACTGGCGCCCATATAGGATGCTGGCACTGCAGGTGGTGGCTTTACCTGCTATGGCACAGTGCCGGCCCCTGCAGTTTTTTTTTTGACAGGCAGAGTGGACAGTGAGAGAGAGAGAGAAAGGTCTTCCTTTGCCGTTAGTTCACCCTCCAATGGCCGCCGCGGCTGGTGTGCTAAGGCTGGCGCATAGCGCCGATCCAAAGCCAGGAGCAAGGTGCTTCTTCTGGTCTCCCGTGCAGGTGCAGGGCCCAAGCACTTCGGCCATCCTCCACTGCACTCCCGGGCCACAACAGAAGTCTGGCCTGGAAGAGGGGCAACTGGGACAGAATCCAGCACCCCAACTGGGACTAGAACCCGGTGTGCCGGCGCTGAAGGCGGAGGATTAGCCTAGTGAGCCATGGTGCCAGCCATGGACATTCATCTTAGTCATCTCTCTCCCATCTTGACCTTAGGTTAAGTATTTCCATTTGGGTCAAGAAATCAGTGTGTAGGAGAGGGATGCTATTTTCACAACAGTTAAGTGGACAAGAAATGGATAGTTTGCCTACATTAAAGTACATTAAATTCATGTATCTTGATTTAAAATCATGTAAGAACTACCAGTTCTATATACATCTTCATTGTTTTACTTGGGGCTTATTCTAGCCTTAAATGTAAATGAAGTGTTAGGAATACACACAGGCTGCTTGTCTGGAGTTGTTATTATCTATTAGAAGAACTCAGTGAGTGGTGACCACCAGGAAAAGTCTAAAGCTGCCTCCAAATTTAACATAATAGGAGTTTAAGGAATTCATTATATTTTTGTTTTGTCTGTGACTTATGTTTTTACTTTTTTTTTTTTTTTTGACAGGCAGAGCTAGACAGTGAGAGAGAGAGACAGAGAAAAAGGTCTTCCTTCTGTTGGTAACCCCCCAAATGGCCGCTACGGCTGGCGCACTGCGCTGATCCAAAGCCAGGAGCAAGGAGCTTCCTCCTGGTCTCCCATGCGGGTGCAGGGCCCAAGCACTTGGACCATCCTCCACTGCACTCCTGGACCACAGCAGAGAGCTGGCCTGGAAGAGGAGCAATCGGGACAGAATCCGGCGCCCCGACCATGACTAGAACCTGGGGTGCTGGCACCGCAGGCGGAGGATTAGCCTAGTGAGCTGCGGCGCCGGCCGTGTGACTTGTGTTTTTAAAGATGGGTTTAGGGCCCAGTGCCGTGGTGCACTAGGTTAATCCTCCACCTGCGGCGCTGGCACCCCATATGGGCGCTGGTTCTAGTCCGAGGATCTGGAACTTCCCATTAATGACTCTGTGTCCCGGCCATGACAAGAGCTGCCCCCAGGGCAGTGCACCACTCAGAGCTCATCCAAAGGATATATCGTTCATAAATGGTGCGGGCCCGCTCCACCTCTTTGTACCTCAGCTCGAAGTTGATGTAGGAGTGCCAGGCTTGCTCCTCGGGCTGCCATTCCATCCAGCGCTCAAACACCTGGCGAGCACCCGCAATGTTCCCCAGCATCTCCTCCATGTACGTGTACTTGTACCTTCAACACAGTGACCCAAGACACCTGTTGTGCTCCAAGCGTCTTAGTGCAAACACCATCTTTGACAATTTCTAGTTCTCCCTTTATTTAATGAAAAAACTTAAGGTTTTATCTTTCCTAATGGTTAATGCAAACATATTTTCTTAATGAAATATAAATCTGAACAAGATGAACTATTAGGAAAACATTTTTTTCTTATAAGTTGCTAGTTCAATGTGAAGTTTTTAGGCACAAATGATTGCAATCAGCACTTAAGTTTTGATCACATGTGATTAGCTATTAAACGTTTTGATTATGAGTTAATAAACTATGGGGCATTAAAAAACTCTTACAGGATGTTTAAAGTAAAAGTAGACTGCAACATTAATCTAAACAATAAACTGTGTGAGTAAAACAAACACACAACAGCATTTTCCAGTCTGAGAGGCTGCTCTGCTAGATCAGGACTTACCAGAACTGGTTGACTCTGGGCAGAGTCGTGATGGCCCGGTCCCAGATATTACGGGCATGGTTGACCTGGCGATTTTTCATTTCCATTTCTGCATACTTCAGCCAGAGCGTAATATTTCGGTAGTCCACATCTAAAGCACGCTCGTATATGGAGCGAGCCCTGAGGAGGCAAGAGGTGAGGGTCTCAGAAGTAGAACAGACAACGCACGGCAGTTACATCAAGCTACCAGCAATGCCCTGATGTTTTATTGGGTGTTTACTGTAAGTCAGGTTTGGGGCATAAAAAAACGAAAAGATGGTGTTCTCAAATAGCTTACAAAATCTATGGAAAGATAAACACATATGTAATTACAATGCAGGTCACAGTCGAGTCCTGCAGAGGAAGCAGACACAGAAATGGCAATGTCTGCTGAATGAGCTAAGTGGAGGTAACTCCAGAACGGAGAACATGAGGACAGCTGAGTTTACCAGGACGACAAGGCTGGTGGGAAGGTGTGCTCCTCCCAGGCACACAGAACTGGAAAGTAACGTGGCAAGGAGAAATGATGTGCTCAGAGCGTGCTGAGAACTTAGGCCCAGCACAAGCAGGGGCTGTGAGGGTATGGAAAGGCTGGACAAGGGCCAGGTCGCGATTTTCAGCTTGTTCACCACTGGTACTGGGTGGAACATTTTTATTTCAAATTTTCAATATATAAAATTAGACACAGAGTGAATGCTACATCTTACAACCTCCGCCTGCCATTCACCACAGACCATACTAACACAGTGCCCCTCAAGCCCCTTTGAAGGAACCACAGGGCTCCAGGAAACGAAAGTTGGACATTAATACCAGAAGCACACTATTTTTTGGATTGTTTTTTTAAAAGATGTATTTATTGATTTAAAAGGCAGAGTTAGAATCAGAGAGGGAGAGACCAAGCTTCTATCTGCTGTTTTACTCCCCAGATGGCCACAAAAGCCAGGGCTGGGTCAGGCCAAAGCCAGAAGTCAGGAGCTTCATCCTTGTCTCCCCTGTGGCTGGCAGGTGGCCCAAGCACTTGGGCCATCTTCAGCCGCCTTCCCAGGAGCATTAGCAGGGAGCTGGATCAGAAGTGGAGCAGCTGGGACTCAAACCAGCACCTATATGGGATGCTGGTGCTACAGGAGGTGGCTTCACCCACTGTGCAGAGGTATACTCTTTTACTTCTGATTTAACTTTTTTTTTAATGGTTAACTTACAATTTCTTTGTGTTATATTCTAAGCAATTTTACCTTTGAATCTCCTTCAGACTCTCCTCCCATTGTGCGTATTTTATCCAGTTGCTAATTACAGTCCTGTTTTTTCTTATGTTATCTTCAAAAGTCTGGAAGGCAGCAAAAAGGGTTGAATTAAATGGGAAAATGGCATCACCTTTTGTCTACTATAAGCCTTGTACTAAAAACACTATTATTTTGTTCTCTTTTAAAAGAGAAATGACATACTGGAATCCTTGACGAATCAGACACCAGAAGTTACAACTACTGATGTTTTTTCAAACTCTTACAATCCAAACAGAAAACTTTGGCTAAGAAGAACTGCAGGCAGACTTGCTGGTGTTTCCTCCCGTTGCTCAAGACACACTTTATATTTGCTTCCAATAAGGCAATGCTTTTGCAAAGTAACTTTACATCTTCTTGGTAACTCTGATTTCACCCATAGCTCACTAGATGGGACATGATGAGAGGTCTAAAATAATCTCACATTCCCGAGTGAGGAGGTCAGATCAGACCCAACATCGTCTCACGACTCTGTGCTAGGTCTTACCCACAGAAGTATGGCAACCAGCCATGCAAAGGACACGCCTCTCCCACCTGTGCGTCTTCCACCTGCTAACCTTTCCGCCATCTTTGATTCAGCACCAGAAATTACGTCTCTGGCAGACTTAACTGCTTTGTATTTTAAGATGACAACTCAGTTTATTTTTTATATAGTTCAGCAAAAGCAGTTAGTTCACCAGAGCGCTAGGAACATTAACCTCGTCTTAACCATCCAGACTCTCACCGATCAGGAACTTTTCAAACTCTGCCCTTTAATTCTAAACAACTAAAGAGACAGAGAAATCAGACTTACCTTCCTTTTCCTTAGCTTGTAATCGTTTAATTCTTCTTCATCTGTGATCTTCTGCTGAGGTGGAGGTGGAAGCAGCTCAAGTTCTCTTTCTTTCGCTTCTCTCAAGAGTTGCTCAGCAGTTATTTGTACTTCGGCGGGAGCTTTGTTTTTGACCTTTTTCATAAAAAAAAAAAAAAGAAAATTTAGACATTTCTATTTGGGTAGACACTCTTCAGATAGGGTTTAAGAAACAAACACATGGTTTTCAGAACACAGACTCTAAGTTGCCCCCTCTGGATGACAGGTGTCCATTTCTCAACACTGAAGAGAAGAAAATGTTTTCCATTTCACACGTGGTACCCATTACAAGTCAGTAGGTTAAAGTCTCACGAGAAAAAACATGGAAAAAGCAATAGTGACTTTTCCTTTTTAAATGAGTAAAATGAAAAACTTTGAGGCTTGCTAGCTAAGAGATTTTAAGATGTATTCATATAACATCACAACTTTTTTTTTTTAACAATTTTTAAAAAAAATTATCTAAGGGGGCAGGTGCTGTGGCATAGTAGGTAAAGCCGCTGCCTGCAGTGTCGGCATCCCATACGGGCACTGGTTTGAGACCCGGCTGCTGCTCTTACGATCCAGCTCTGTGCTATGGCCTGGGAAAGCAGTGGAAGATGGCCCAAGTCCTTGGGCCCCTTCACTCACATGGGAGACCCAGAAGAAACTCCTGGCTTCGATTGGCACAGTTCTGGCCATTGAGGCCAACTGGGGAGTGAACCAGCGGATGGAAGACCTCTCTCTCTGTCCCTGCCTCTCTATAATTCTGCCTTTCAAATAAATCTTTAAAAAAAGTTAACATCACCTGTTTATTGTTACCTTCTAATGCGATTAAGAGAAAATTTTAAGTTACAAACAGGCTTCATTTATTGCTATTAGGCTAGTGGCACTCAATAACAATGTATGGAATGGAATTTTAAGAAACTTTTTTTTTTTAAATTTACTTATTTGAAAGGCACAGAGAGAGAGAGAAACTGCCATCTGCTGGTTCACACCCCAAATGTCCACAGCGGCCGGGGCTGGGCCAGGCTGAAGCCAGCAGCTCCCTCCGGGTCTCCTGCACTGCTGCAGGGGCCCGAGCACTTGAGCCATCCTCCACTGCTCTCCCAGACGCATCGGCAGGGATTTGGATCGGAACTGGAGCAGCCGGGACTCGAACCGGCGGCCACACGGGATGCCGGCGGCTTCACCCTCTACACCACAGCGCCGGCCCCCAGCAGCAGGAGTCAATGCGCCCTGGGACGCACAGACAGCACCCACGACACGAGCACTCAGGGCAAACACCTGACACGCATTACTGGCTGCGTGAACGGAAGAGGTCAAGTTCAAGGGGCTGGAAAAAGGACACCCGCGAAGACTCAGGCCGGGGCCCACCGCTGATGGACTCCGGCTAGTCAGTCTCCCCCGTGCCCGCGCCCTCCCGGAGCCGGCGCGACCAGCGCCCCGCACACAGACCGCCCTACTGCAGCCCGCGGCCGGCTGTGCCTCGCCGCGGGCACACACACAGAGCAGCGCTGCCGCTTACCTTGGCCACTTTAGGAATTCGCTGCTTCCCAGCCGCGGTGGACGCCGCCATGTCTGCAGCAACGGACCTCGGGAGACCAGCTCCCCTCGCCGACAACAGAAACGGCTCCCCGAGGCTCGCCTACACCACAAAAGCTTCCCCACCGACCGACGGATTCCCGGAACCGGAAACGGAACTCCCGAGGACGACCTTTGACCTCGCGCATGCGCCATGACCACGGTAGAGCCGTTGCCGTGGTAACTAGACAGCGCGTCCTCCTCGGAGCTGGAAGCAGAGCTCAGCGTCCTGGAGTTGGGGTTGAGGTGGGTACGCGGGGACTGGATCCAGGGTCTCAAAGGCTCACTCCCAGATCAGCTTCTGGGACTGGGATGATCCTAGGAGAACGGGTTCGTGTGTTCAGCCGAGGCGCCTGGATAGGGAATTGGAGCCAACCTCTGCTCTAGACGCTGCAGGGCCGGGGACGTCAGGAACGGAGGGGAAACTACCATTCCCGGCATGCCCAGGGGGAGCCTGCGCCGCGTTGCATTCTGGGCTTTATAGTCTCCGACGTCCGTGCCCACAGCTTCCAGTTCTCGGCCAATAGTGCTAATTAAACTCTGGAGCCTGGAATCCCGGGTCTTTTCCAAGGCAGGTGTTAGGAAAAAGTGAGAACACATGAGCAGACTAACTAGTGAACTACCCCGCCTTGCGGTAAGAAACGTGTTTAACATTTTCAGGTGTGCCCCGGTCACCGAAATTCTCAGGCCAGGGGCCTCGGCTGCCCAGCGGGGCTCGTAGCTTCGCCCGGTTTCCCCAAGATGGAAGGGAAACACAGCTGTGAGGTTCTCAGTGATAGCCCTCGACCTTTCCTCAGGGGCAGGGAAGTGAGGCCAGCGGTGCCGAGGAGGTTGGGAAAGGACTCCTGGCCTCGCAGCAAAGTTGAGCAGAGGGAAAGCGACTCGCCCAGCCGGCCCGCGGCGCCTCTCCCGAGTCCGCAGTTTGGGGCTCTCTCCTGGCATGGTGCGCCCTGTAGGGTCAGGCAGCGGCGTGCTGACGCGAATCCAACCGTGGTATCGCCCAGCTCCCCCTCACACCCTCAGATCCCACCCCTGTTCATCCCTTTCTCCCCCAAACTCCAGGAAACTTCTGATTAAAAAAATTTTTTTTGCATTTTCTAGAATATCGAGCAGTTGGATAATATGTAGATTTGTCAGATTGTCGTCTTTTTAAAGATTTTATTTGAGAGGTAGAGCTACAGAGAAGGAGAGGGAGAGAGGTATTCCATCGCTGGTTCGCTCCCCAAATGGCCACAAAGTCCGGACTGGGCTGATCCAAACCCAGGAGCCAGGAGCTTCCTCTAGGTCTCCCACGCGGGTGCAAGGGCCCAAGCTCTTGGGTCATCCTCCACTGCTTTCCCAGGCCACAGCAGAGAGCTGGATCAGAAGAGGAGCAGCCGGGACTAGAACTGGCGCCCATATAGGATGCTGGCACTGCAGGTGGAGGATTAACCAAAAACCTCAGGCCTCAGATGATCTTCTTTTGCTTAGTGATATGCACTATATTTCATGCTAGTTAAGAGAATTTCCAATTGCAAATCTCCTTTGGTGTTTAGGAAAAAAGTGTATTTGTGTGTGTGGTAATATTACATTATCCTATGGGTTATGTTGCTTTTAAAAATATATTTCGGGGCTGGCACTGTGGCATGGTGGTGGAGCTGCCACCTGCAGTACCGGCATCCCAAATGGGCGCCAGTTCAAGTCCACTACTGATCCAGCTCTCTTGGGCCCCTGCCCAAGAAGAAGCTCCTGGCTTCAGCCTGGCCCAGCCCCTGCCATTGTGGCCATCTGGGGAGTGAACCAGCACATGGAAGAATCTCTCTGTCTCTCTCTGCCTCTGCATCTCTATAGTTCTACCTTTCAAATAAATAAATAAATCTTTTTAAAAAATACGTCGAAATTATATCCAGTACCAAAATATTTGTCATAGCGCTCTACCATCCATATTATTTAAATATCTTTAACTTATCTCCCTTTTCAAAAATTTAAATAAAAGGGATGAGGTGATAATTATTTTCCCACCATAAAGATAAAATCACCTAAGAAAATTAGCAAATAGTTATTAACATTTGACTCCCGCATCCTGTATCGGAGCGCCTGGGTTCAATACCTGCCTCTGGCTCCTGACTCCAGCTTCCTGCTAAGCAGATGCTTGGAGGCAGTGGTGATGGCTCAAGTCACTGGATTCCTGCCAGCCACGTGGGAGACTTGGTTTGGGTTCCCAGCTCCTGGGTTCAGCCCTGGGCCATTGCAGGCACTTAGTGGGTGAAGCAACAGATAGGAGTTCTCTGACTTCCTCTCTCTCTCTCTCTCTCAGTTCTGACATTATCTCACTGTCTCTAAAGTAAATAAATGAAAATGAAAAGAACATGGAATAAACAGGTGTTTCCCTTAGGTGCCATGCCTGAAGTTGGCAGCTACAAGTGATTGAACAAGTGAATAAGTGGCTTAACTGTCCCCAGCTGCGTTCCAACAAGCTCATCGTCCTTCTGTCACATGTTTTGATTGTGTGGTAATTCGGTTCAGCATTGTATTTTTTAAGAAAATATTATCATAGGCCGGCACCGCGGCTCACTAGGCTAATCCTCTACCTTGCGGCGCCGGCACACCGGGTTCTAGTCCCAGTCTGGGCGTCGGATTCTGTCCCGGTTGCCCCTCTTCCAGGCCAGCTCTCTGCTGTGGCCAGGGAGTGCAGTGGAGGATGGCCCAAGTGCTTGGGCCCTGCACCCCATGGGAGACCAGGAGAAGTACCTGGCTCCTGCCATCGGATCAGCGCGGTGCGCCGGCCGCGGCGGCCATTGGAGGGTGAACCAACGGCAGAAAGGAAGACCTTTCTCTCTGTCTCTCTCTCTCACTGTCCACTCTGCCTGTCAAAAAAAAAAAAAAAAATCATTATTCCTTTTCCCTGAATGCTCATCCAGGTACACCCGCGTGTTTACTTGTTCCCTCCGAGCTTCTCATCTCACAGCCCACTCCCTTCTGATTCTAACTCTTTTCTTCCTGAAATACACCTCTCACTAGATCTTTCAACTGGATTCTTCGGTAATCTCTTTCAGTTTCTGTGTGAAATTGTCGTTATTTCACCTTCATTTTTTAATGATTGCTTAGCGAGGTGTAGACTTCTAGGTTGGTGATTATTTCTCAATTTCAAAACCACTATTTGAGTAGCATAAAAACTGCAGAGCCACAGGCCAAGTTCAGTTCATTGCCCATTTGAACAGTCTGTGAGCTAAGGATTTTTGTATGTGTTAAACATTTGAACAGAGTTAAAGACTGTTATGCAACATAGGAAGATTACACCACAGTCTGATTTCCGTGCTCATAAGTAAATTTGTATTGGGATACAGTCAGGTTTGTTTGTATTCACATTGTATCTGGCTGTTACCTGGCTACAGTGTGACATTCACAGAGCTGAGTATTTATATAGAGCACATGTGCTCACAGAGCCTAAAACTCAAAAGGTTTTCCAGGCTTCTCTTGCTGCTAATGAGCCATATGTCAGCCTAGTTACTTTTCTCTCAGATGTGGTTTGCATTTTTCCTGATTGGCTTGAGGGCTTTGTCTTTGAGGTTTTGTAGTTTTCATTATGATATACTTAGAGTTTATTTTCTTTTGTCTTAAAGATTTTTTTTTTATTTGAGAGGTAGAGTTACAGAAGGAGAGGAAGAGAGAGAGAGAGAGAGAGAGAGAGAGAGACTTCTATCCACTGGTTCACTCCCCAAATGGCCACAAAGGCTATAGCTGGGCCGATCCGAAGCCAGGAGCCAGGAGCTTCTTCCTGGTCTCCCACACTGGTTCAGGGGCCAGGGACTCAGGCCATCCCCCACTGCTTTCCCAGGCCATAGCAGAGAGCTGGATGGGAGGAGGAGTAGCTGGAACATGAACCAGTGCCCATATAGGATGCCAGCACTGCAGGCAGAGACTTTACCCACCGCACCACAGCACCAGTCCCCAGTTTGCCTATTTTTGAGCCTGCTGGATGGTGCATGATAAATTGATTTTTCCTAGGAAGGGACAAAGGAAGAGATTGGGGGAGGGAGAGAGGAGGCGAGACTGACGTTGAGACACTGAGAGAGGCACTGAAATCATTTTGTGGTCTGTGGTTCCTGTCTGCCGCATTTCCCAACGTGCTGTGTTTTTGGAACATCAGACCCTCCACTGTCTGTGTCGGCAGAGAGTGGGCTCAGAAATCACATGGGAGAGTCTGGGCTCCTTTATCATGGAGTGCCTGGAACATCTTGCGTGGACACAGCTGCAGCTGTCAGCATTTTCCCCTGCACCTCTTGACCACGCCGTGGTGGCTGAGACATTTAAGAGGATACTGCATCAGCAAATAATCCCTTTCAGTGTTTTCCACGCCCGTGGTCAGAATGTTTGGAAACAAAGAATACAGTTGCAGCAGAAATTCCTTTTTTTTTTTTTTAAGCTTTATTTATTTTATTTGAAAGGCAGAGTTAAGAGGGAGAGGCAGAGAGAGATTGAGATCTTCCATCCTCTGGTTCACTCCCCAAATGGTCCCAACAGCTGGAGCTGAGCTAATCCACAGCCAGGAGCCCGGAGCTTCCAAAGGGTCTTCCCATGCGGGTGCAGGGGCTCAGGCACTTGGGCCATCCTCCAGTGCTTTCCCAGGCCATAGCCGAGAGCTGGATCAGAAGTGGAGCAGCTGGAACTTGAACCGGCGCCTGTATGGGATGCTGGCACAGCAGGCTGCAGCTTAACCCACCATGCCACCACTCCAGCCTCAGCTGCAGAAATTTCTAGACAGGTCATTTTTGCGACACTTTATCCTCCTCTGGACAACCGTGTTGGCTGATTTGCAGGGAAGGTCGTTGCCCACTGCCCCCAGGGGAAGGTATGTTATCTGGGACCCCTGTGCTGGGCTCCTGGTGGCCATATGGAAATTGAGTTAATGTACACTTTTGTGAGTCCTGCAGCTGAACTGAGTCGTCATCTCAGGTTGACCGTGGACTGTTTTCTCTCTCTCGGGGACAGGATACAACATGTCAGTACTCACTTCTCCAAGAGGCAAGGTAGAAGTGGTTCATTGCCGCAGAACAGAGTCGCAGGATATCCACTGTATCAAGAGCCTCATTAGGAAATTCACCCAGAAGCTCTTTGGGAAATTTAATATCATCTATC